TTAGATCTATGCTTCAAAAATCAAGCAGTTCTCCCCCCTTACAGAAACAGGCTTCTCTAATCTACACTTACCTGAAGAATTCTCTACTGTGTGAACTCAGGTAATTGGTAACAATTCTAGTTGCTCTAGATAGTCTAACTAGATGAGAAACACAGTAAGCGTATATTGTAGATCCCTCAAAACAATACTGCAATATAGGATTTCCTTTCTCTATGTAATGCCAGAGTTCTTCAATTATGTCTGCATAGTTAAATTATCTAGAGTTTTACTAAACCCTTATGCCTGGATGCTTTGCGATAACAATTAAACTGGAATCTATGATGATAAGGTCAGGACATTATTTTTTAAATTTTTAAGAGTTCTACTAACAATAGAGGGTTGCTAAACCTCCACCCTCACTACCTGCTAGCATAAGCCTTTTAACCCTACACAAAACACAACTTCAAAACAAATAACACTTTCTCTTCATCCTGTTATTTCCATCTTGTTCTTACCCCCAGTACAAAATGCACCTAGTCTCCTCCAGGCCTCCTTGGAGTGGATCTGCAAGATAAACTTAAAGGATTTCACCAGAGCACACTCAATTAACAGGGAAACTTCCCAATCCCAGTGCAGACAGGTGATAGGTGGTATGAATAGGAAAAAAAGCAGTACTTCTGGGTTCCTCCTCCTTTTTAAAAAAAATCTAGAAACCAATTAAAGAATGCTCCTATGAATGATAATATGGCTAAATGGTAGAGCAGAGCATCAGCTGTGAGCAAAAAAAGCCAGCTAGATCATGAAGGCTTGAGTTCAAATTCCAATATTGGGGTGGGAGTGGAGGGGTAGAAAGGAGAAGAATGAGCCGGGTGCCAGTGGCTCATGCCCGTAATTCTAGCTACCCAGGAGGCTGAGATCTGAGGATTGCGGTTCAAAGCCAGCCGGGGCAGGAAAGTTCGTGAGGCTCTTATCTCCAATAAACCTCTAGGAAACCGGAAGTGGTGCTGTGGCTCAAGCGCTAGAGCACTCACCTTGAGCTGAAGAGCACAGGGACAGTGCCCAAGCCCAGAGTTCAAGCCCCACGATCGACAAAAAAAAAAAAAGAAAGAAAGGAGAAGAATGCTTCCAGCCAAGGAGAAATAGGAAATTTTAGAGAAGAATAAGCTTTAAATACTAATGTGATAGAGTTCCTGATCCCACCTCAGAGCAAGTAAAGGAAAATTGTGTACTGTTTCTACCTGGAATTTCTGGCAACGACAGCTTACTGAGTATGGCCTTTCCATGAAGTGTAGACACAGCAAGTCCAAGCATGCCATTGTGCAGGTATTCATCTAAAAATTCCAGTTGGCTTTGAATTCATAGACGGAAGAACGTATATGGACCTTTGGAGGGACAGTTGGGCAGGGCCTCTTGTCAAAAGCTTTTTGTTTTTTTGTAAGGCTGAGTCCATGATAGGGCCAAAGAGGACATGGCTGTTTCTCAAGGAGGGTCATTGCCAGAAACCCAAAGTGGGATGCAATATAGACACATAACTATCAGTATTTGTTCATCCAGAGTCAATGAATAAACTATGTGAATTCCCATAAGTACTAAGTCTTTCTTAGGATGAAAGTTACCTACCTTGCATTCTTGGTTTAACTAAGAAGAAGAAGTATATAGCTAAGAACAACCAATAAGTCACTAAATTTTATGTTCTACTGAGCCAGGGTGGAATTCTATCTTATAACTGTCCTTTAGTGGACTGTATTATTCACATGTCTGTTCCTTTTTACTAAAGTATAAGCTTCCAAAGGCAAAGATCTTGTCTTATTGACCTGGTACATCACAAGGATTCACTGCATGTTCGAGATGGATTCATTGATATGAAGTCTTTTCTAAATCACCACATTGAGTCATTTCCCAACATGTGATTCTTCAAAGACTTCTCTCCCCATTGTTTCAGAAAGCCAACCAGACCTGCCATATCCCACAGACTGGGAACCAAGTCTCCAGCTTTAGCTTACCTCCCACCTCATGTGAATCATTGGACCCATTCTGGGCTGTGATTGGTGCCAAATTTGCCCAAGACTTTTCTCTGTCTTCATCCCTTCTCAAGCATTCCCTTTACCTCAACAACTTTCACAGTCCAATTCAAACAGGGAATCCCTGGGAGCCCTTACTTGAATATTCCAGGCATGGTGACTTCCAGACACAGTGAATCTCACAACTTCCTTTTTCTCTCCTAGCATCTTTACACCATGCCTGGTAATCTTATTACTGATGTGCTTGTAATACCCATCTCTTATACAACTCCTTGAGAACAACGCTGTATTTATCACTGGATTTCCCAAAGTATATAGAACCACTTTCCTCACACAAGAAGGGCTTAATAAAAAATACAATGCAGTGGATAAGGTATTTTCTGGATGAAATTCTCATTAATCCCTAAGGATCTGTCCTCAGGTTCCAATGTGTTTAACACTAGCTTTTCTTGCCTGGCTTTACTTCTGATAGTGTTTTAGTTTGAAATACAACATTTCATAGTGGTGGCTGATCTAGAGACAGGTTTTATTAACCGAGATACAGAATAAAAGATGCTGAAAAACAGTAACTGATTCAATGTACTTAGTCTCTTGACACAAAAAGTATAACTTTTTTTGCATTTAAATTCCACTAATATTTTAAGGGAACAAAGGCATGGAGAAAAAGAATAAACATATACTAGCCTCCCAAAAATGCCAGACTTTACTCATATTGCCTCTCTCCAAGAGCCTACAGGGCCTATTTTGAAATGGGGAAAGTGAAATAAGACTTAGCCAAATTCCCACTGCTAATTACTCTTGTGATTACAAACTCCTGCTGTATTGCACTCTGTTCTCCTAACCTTTTGTGCCCTTGTTTTCTGATATTTTCATGTGACACAGTACTAATTCTTTCTTTGAATGTTACCAAGACTCACAGTGAATGCTCTTGTATTTAAGAATCCAAGCAGTACTCACTGCCATTTTTCTACAACTATTGGTTCACACAAAGGTGCACACATACATACATATTAATACATAATTATAAGCAGCCACAAAGGCAAGCCTTTGAGTTTTATGCCTCCACCCACTGCTGTGACCTGGGGCAAGTTAATCGTACCCTAGTTTCATTTTCTTTACAGGTGAAGTGAAATAATAACACCCTTATGCCAAGACTGTTGTAAAGATTAAATAAATTAAATTTTTTCTTCATTCCATAGATATTGACAGCTTATTTTGTGTCTTTTGCTGAGAACTAGTGATACTAGTCAAAATAGTCCCTTACTTTATAAAAGTTTACATTGTGTGTTTAATAAGTTCACACACACACACACACACACACACACACACGTTAAAAGAGACTAGCAGCAAGATGATTGTGGAGGGGCCCTCTGAGGATATTTTAGCTGAAACAGAGGACAAATATAATCCAAGGAAAAAGGAAGAGGGGCTGGGTGTAGAGGTTTACAAGCTATAATCCCAGTACTGTGAGATTCCAGAGCTTAAAGGATTACGGTCCAAGACTGCTCTAGGCAAAAAGGTTAGACTCTTTGGAAATAACTAAAGCAAAAAGAAGGGGCTGGTAGTTATTGTTCGAGTGGTAGAACACCTGTCTAGCAAGCAGAAAGCCCTGAGAAAACCCAACTACCACCAAAAATAAGAAAGAAAGGAAGGAAGGAAGGAAGGGTGGGAGGGAGGGAGAGAGAGAGAGAGAGAGAGAGAGAGGAAGAAAGAAAGAAAGAAAGAAAGAAAGAAAGAAAGAAAGAAAGAAAGAAAGAAAGAAAGAAAGAAAGAAAGAAAGAAAGAAAGTAGAGATCAAAGAATGGAGGGGGGAGAGAGAGAGAAAGAGGGAGGGAGAGAAACAGCAAGTCTATTTATAGATGGAGGCAGTAGAAAGCAAAGGTTAAAGGTTAATGAAGGCTAGTAAACTTGTAATATGAGACCCTGGGACAGATGTCCCTGGAAGAAGACAAGTTAAGGATTTGAGATGTATGCAGAGTATAGTGGGAAGCCACTGGAAGAAGAGTTTTGAGGTAGGAGGTTTGGAAATCCCCTACACATGTTAATAAAAATCGCCCTGCTTGCTATATAGATAGTATAGTTCCAGGAAGGATTCATCATCTTCGGGGATGGGGGGGGGGGGGGGCGGGGCACAGTTATCAGGAATGCAGAAATATAGGTAAATTTTATTGAAATGAAGATTAGAAGTAGATAGATTTAAAACGAGTAGGAGAAAGGAGCTTGGGATTAATTTTTAAAAATCAAATGTCTGAGATATCCTAGAGCAAATTTCAAGCAGGCAGTTGGACATGGAGTTAAGAGTTTTAAAAGGACTCTCCTGTACTTCATTGTTCTCCTTTAAAGTTCTAAAAGGTATTTTCCTTTGGCATCTGATGGAACTAAAACAACCTTCACAGTCAGTGTCACAGATGAAAATGCAGCAGAGTCTGTCACCTCACTTTACCTCAGCCCGAGAGGCCTAGAGTTTTAAGAATCTTATTTGGGTTGCTTTTGGTAATTGTGACTTCTATTCACCAAGGATTGCTCCTGTTCACCAAGTCAGGGACTACTGGGTGTGGTGGGACGTTTCCTCCTTACTTTGATTGGGACACTACCCATTGTAATGTACTTTCTTCCAAATCTTAAAATAGCTTGTCACTATTGGTGGATTACTTAACTATTGAATTAACTTGACTTTTTTTTTAAGCATACTTGGACTTTTCTACTTAGGTCCACCTGGAAAATAACATCTTTCAGTAGAATTTTTTTTTTTTTCAGTACAATTCCATATCCCCGCAGTGGTCAGGGTGGAGATAGTGGCATAATGAGAACTCTGGCCAACCTTCAGGTTGTGTGTTGGCCACATTCTGAGTTGAGAGTAATACTCGGGGTCTATAATAGAATATGCAGTACTTCATTCTGAACTCGGTCTATGGAAAGTACCTCCCTCCAAAGTTCAAAGAAGTGTGTGCGCTTTCTCTTCCTCTTACAACCTTGCCCTTGAGGCCTACCAGACAAGAAACTTAGTTTGCTCAAACAAGGGAATTAAAAACAAAAGGAAAGAAAGAAAAGCAAGCAAGGTGGAGAGCAAGAATTGTTAGCAAAATAAGGTACAGAGGGGCAGGGAAGGAACTGGCTTTTTCTACACATGTGGCTCCCAGATCGGGCAGTATTCCCATCCCTACCCGGCGAGCCACCCTGGGCTCTGGCCACTACTCAAGATGCCCAGCTAAGGTCCTAACCTTGGGGTCCACGTGGGGCCTCCCACACCCCTGTCGGGTGGCCGGAAGGCTGGCAGGCGCTCGCGTGGAGGCGGAGCACGGACGCGGGCTCCCGCCTGTCCCACAGCGGTGCGGCCCGGGGAGCGCGCGGAGCGGCCGGCCACGCGTCCCCGGCCTTCTCGGGATGGCAGAATCTGCGGGATGCAGGCCAGACCCGCCGCGTTCCGCGCAGCACAGCCGGCCACCCGGCCCTGCCTCGCAGCCGCCTTGGCCTCACCCCCGCGCCGCAGGCCTCCAGTCCTGGAGTCGGTGCAGGGCAGGGGGCCGGGAGGCGCCCTCCTCCGACCCCGAGGCCCCGTCCCCCGCGCGCTGACCTGAGATCGGCGCGCGCGGTGCGTACCTGGGGGTCCGAGCCCTGAGCCGTACTTGGGGCTTCCGACCCGACCGCCCGTCACTGCCGCCGCCGCCACCACCGCCTCAACGCTGGGGGGACCGAAAGTGAAAGCGGAGCCGGGAGCGGCTGGCGGGCGGCGGGGCGCGCGCGGGCCGGAGCCCGGGCGGCGGGCGCTGGGAGCCCGGGCGGAGGCGGGAGCTGGAGGACCGGGCCCCCGGGAGTGGGATCTATACGGGGAAGAAGGCACCGTCCCTCGGGCGGAATTGTGCATAGGTGCCACGCGCCCCTGGATTGTGAATCGGCGCTGCGAGGGATCGAGGGGGGAGAAAGCAGCTTTCTGCGGTCGGATGCCTTTCTCTGTGTCTTTTGAGGTGGCTTCTCTAGGGGCCATGACTGCACTAGGCGCCTGGACCGTGCAGAAAGCCGTGCAAGATTCCAAAGAAGAAGAGGTCCAGTGTGGCTCGTGTGTCCACCAGGGAGCGGCCTCGCGCCCATTAGAATCAGACGGTGTCCATCATGGCGCCTCCGCAAATGGGCGGGGAGCTCTTGGATCTCCTCCGAAAGCCACAAGAACCCAGAAACATCCTTAGTTGTTGGAATTCTCGGAGCCCACTGGGTGACCGTGGCAGATGCTGTCTGAGAGGAAGAATTATAGTTCCCAGAACTTCCCTGCCCACTAGCTCAGGACATTGCTCCCCCCCTCCCCTTCCCATCTTCATGTTCTTTCTTTCTTTTTAAGACACGTGGCCATGTTTTTCAGTTCCCTTGAGAAAGGCCAAGACCGAGTGGAATGCCCAAGAAGTTCAACTTTATAAAGAATGTAGGGCCAACGAAGTAAGGACTGAAGAAAACACACATATTCAGACAAACCAAGGGCTGCCAGGCGGTCCTGGTGCCTCTGGGCTGTGATCCTCTCCAGACTGCGGGCATTTGTCTCCCACCTCCTTTTTTTTGGGGGGGGGGGGAGGATCCGGTCGTGGGACCTGAACTCTGGGCCTGGGCACCACTTGAGCCACAGCGCCACTTCCGGCTTTTTTCTTATTGGTGCTGAGGAATCCAACCCAGGGCCTCAGGCATGCAAGGCAAGTGCTCTACCACTGAGCCACCTTCCCAGCCCTCAATTTAAAGGTCTTTCTCAACATTTCTTTTCGGTCCTCTTGAAAAATGCACTTCGTCTTCCACTCAAGGACATTTTGTAATCTAAAAACTAACACAGTTCCAGTTTTTATTTTTATTTAGCTGGCTATATCCCTTCTTAACCCTTAAAGTATGTCTTGACGGTCAGAAAGGCAGGGCTGAATGACCTAGGAAGGCTCTTAGAGAAGGCAGCTGGAAAGGCCGGATAGGTTAAATGCCTTTACATGAACCTGGGCAGGAAGGAGCTGAATCTGAGCAAGGAAAAGGCTGACAGAGCTATGGCCTTTAGACTGGAACCCAGTCTAAAGTCACTCCAGCTCCGACTTCCCACTCAGTTGCACGGCCATGACTTCCTCTTGAGTATTTATTCTTTAAATGGCTCTGACAACGGCTGAAGTGTGATCATCACACTTTGCACTTGACAGTGATCACCTGCTAAGCCTGCAGAGTACCAAATATGATAGTAGGGAAGAGCCAAGGCAAACGTACTGTCTTCTTGTGATACCAGGAAGTGACTTCCTGGAGCAGGGAAGGATGGGAAGGACAGGACAAAGCTTTTTTGTTTGTTTTGGTAGTGCCCAGCCCTCTGCCTGGGCACTGTCTCTAGGCCTTTTTGCTCAAAATTAGTCTTCTACCACTTGAGTCACAGCTCTACTCCTGGCTTTTTGCATAGTTTATTGGAGATAAACAGACTTTCCTGCATGGGATGGCTTTGCACCCTGATCTTCAGGTCTCAGCCTTCTGAGTAGCTAAGATCACAGGCCTAAGCCACTGGTGCCCAGCACAGGACAAAACTTTTAAGATTATAATTGTTAACACATATTAATTGTATAGATGGATCAGTTCCTATGCTAAATTACTATACATGCATATACTATGGTTTGTTCAAACCCTCTCAGATTCCCTCTCTTTCCTGCTTTCCCTCTCCCCACAGTTCTTTGCTCTTTCCCAATTAATTTCTCTTCCACATGCAAGTTGATGAGAACAAGGAAACTGCTTTTGTTATGTATTTTGGCACTGGGCTTTGAGCTGTGTACTTGCATCTGCTAGGCAGGTGCCTTACTACTTGAGACACAATCCCACACGTCCATTCTTTTGACTTCAGTTATATTTCAAATAGGATCTCACTTCCATTTGGGCTGGCCTGGACCTGGATCATTCTGTTCACACTTCTGATAAATTGAGATGGCAGGAACACACCACTGTGCTGAGCTTTTAATGGTTATGATGAGTTTCTAATAGTGGAGGGTCTTGTGAACTTCTTGTCTAAGGCTGGCCTAGAATAATCATCCTCCCAATCTCAGCCCCCCAAGTAGGTAAGATTATAGGCAGGAGTCACATTGTGTCTGACTGTTGTCATGCTTTTTATTCTTCCTTTCTTTCTTTCCTTTCTTTCTTTCTTTCTTTCTTTCTTTCTTCTCCCCCCCCCTCCTCCTCCTCCTCCTTTTCCTCCTGCACCACTTGTGCCTTTTTCTGAGATTAAGTATCACAGACTTTCCTGCCTGGGCTGGCTTCAAACTGTGATCCTCAGATCTCAGCCTCCTGAGTAGCTAGATTACAGGCATGTGTCTCCTGTACCCAGCTTCTTTTTATTTATTTATGTTTTTACATAAACTTCTTCTACTAAAGACACTAAGTAAATTTCTTTTTATTTGCCTTAAGGCTTAATTATAATGGAAGTTTGAAAAGATAAAAATTCTTCTTCCATTTGTCTTCAAACACTGAAGTAAGAGGTAAGATCAATATTTGGAAATGTGTCAATTGCCACTGTCAAGAAGGTTAAGTTCTCGGAATTGGTGTGTACCTTTCCAAGCACTCTGTGCATTCAGAATAGTATTGCAATGGTTGAGTGCATTAACTTTCCAGGACATCTACAAAAGGTAGCTCATGAAGTAGATTTCAAGCAGTTTTCTTGAATGTCAGGAACTTACATGGTTTCCAATTTTGCAGTTTTAATGAGAATTCTGTGACTCCATGTGAGAGAAGGCGCCAAGAGACCTGGAAGTGGGTGTACATGTGAGGCAAAGTCTGTATCGTGGTCCAGTCCTGCTGGTCTCTACTCATCATCACAGGCGTACTCACTTTCTGAAGTAATAAAGTCTAAAACAACAACAACAGCCACAACAAAAATTGCCCCCAAACCCAGGGGTTGTCTTTACAATTTCATAAGGACCTAGAAGGGTTTCCTTAAAATTTTAAAGTCTATTTTATTGTCTTTCATGGAAGAAAATATATACTCGAGTGGTAGTTGAGATCTTAGAAAATAATCTTGTAGAAGATCCGATAATCTAAACAATACTTGTTTTCCTTAAATGGCTAGAAGAGACTACATTTTCATAAAGAGCCCCATAAAATTCCCAGTAATTCTGGAAATGAAGTTTTCCTTCATTTGTATTGAAAATAAAAAAGATCTCTAGCACTGAGTTTTGCTAGGTCTTTCAATATAACTCCCAGAGCGTATCTCTAGTCCTTGCTTTCCCTTCCAGTTCCTTTGCCTCTATTCATGCTTTATCATTTTACATTTCATTTTTTAAAGTATTTTTACTTTTTGTACTAGAGATGAAACTTAGGATCTTGCACAGCTAACATGTGCTCTGCCACTGAGCTTCAACCCTTAACTCCTATAGGCACTATCTTAACTACAACTTTTAACTTCGTACCTCTTCCCCCATTTGAATCTGTTTCCTATACTGTCATGTTTAAGCCTACCTCTTAGGATGGTTAGGGATTAGAAATTTAAGTCAGGAAATGAAAGTGGTTCGGCGTGAGTTAAAGACAGAGCAACTCCTATCCTGATAAAAGAAAACAAATGCAAAATCAAATTTTTTTAAGGGATGGGTGGTCCGTAAGACATAGATAAAGTTATTCCAAAGCAGAGATTACAGAATTGTGTCAGGCAATACAGTAGTTTATTTTGTGTCAACTAGACTAAGGGAAACCCAGCTACCTGTTAAGCAGTACTTCTAGTATGCCTGTGAGGTTCAGAACAGATTAGCATTGAGTGAAGGTCTACTCTCAGAGTAGACGACATCATCACCATCTGTTAATGGCCTGAACAGAATGAACAGACTTAAGAATGGATAAATCCTTTCCTCCTCCTCCTCTTCTTGTTCCTCCTCCTCCTCCTTCTCCTCCTTTTTTTTCTCTCTCTCCTTGAAAAGGGAACATTCACTTTTTTCCTTCCCTTAGTCAATGGAGCACCTGGTTGGTTTGTTTTGTTGTTGTTGTTGTTTGATTGTCCAGGTGAAGTAGAGAGGGGATACAGTTACATGAGGTAATATTTCTTGTCAAACTTGTTACTCCTGCACTCATTTTTCTCCTACTTTCCCTTCCCGAGTCCCCCCCCCCAAGTTGTGCAGATTATTTCCAACATATGGTGAAGATCACTGTTGCATTGATTCCCCCTTGTCCTTTGTCTCATCATTCTGTTGTTCCCCTTCCCTTCCCTAATTCAGATAAATGTATATACAATACCAGTGAACCAAATTCAAATATAGTGAAAGCAGGGGATATGCCATAGGGGAAGAACATTCAAAAGAAACAAAAAATCATATAGCACATTAAAAACAACAACAAAGAAAAACCTCTTGTATCCATGTCTTGAAGTTCATTTCACTCAGCACAATCTTCTATGGTCATATGTACATAGCTATTGAGCATTCTGCTCATCTGCTAAGGTTATCCTAGACATATACTAATTATTGCAAATAATGGAAACTATGTTTCTTTGGGTTTATATTATTTTTTCCAAGTCTTTCCATTTCCTTACAAATGGGACTGTGTCATTCTGATAGAAGCATATATATAAAAAACTTAAACTTTCTTGATCCATTCATGTACTGAGGGACATCTGGGTTGGTTCCACATCTTAGCTATGGTGAATAATGCTTTAATAAACATAGTTGTGTTAGTAGCTTTAGTGTGGCCTTGTTTGTGGTTATTTGGATAAATGCCCAGGAGTGGGATTGCTGGGTCATAGGGGAGCTCTATGTTTAGTCTTTTGAGGAACCTCTGTACTGCTTTCCGGAGTGGTTGAACAAGTTTACACTCGCACCAACAGTGCAGTAGCATTCCCTTTAGGCCACATCTGTTATTAGCCTTCTTTTTTTTGGGGGGGGGTCCGGTCGTGGGGCCTGAACTCTGGGCCTAGGCGCTGTCCCTCAGCTCTTCAGCTCAAGGCTAGCGCTCTACCACTTGAGCCACAGTGCCACTTCCGGCTTTATTCTTATGTGGTGCTGAGCAATCGAACCCAGGGCCTCGAGCATGCAAGGCAAGTGCTCTACCACTGAGCCACCTTCCCCATTCTAACTGGGGTGAGGTAGAATCTCAATGTTGTTTTGATTTGCATTTCTTTTATGGCAAGAGATGTTGAGCATTTCTTCATGTATAGATTGGCCATTCTTATTTCCTCTTTAGAGAAGTCTCTCTTCAAGTCTTTATCCCACTTATTAATGAGGAGGCTATTTCTTTGAGGACTTGCTTTTGGGAAATTTAATTTTTTGAGTTCTAAGCATATTCTAGATCTGAAGCCCTTGTCTGTTGTATGGCTAGTGAAAATCTTCTCTCAGTCTGTGGGCTTTCTATTGATCTTGCTAGCTATGTCCTTTACCATGAAGAAGCTCTGCAGTTTAATGTAATTCCATTTGTCCAACCTTTCTTTGATTTTTTTTTGTGTTTCTGGGTCTTTATTAAGAAAATTTCAGCCTGGGACCAATGGAATAGAATTGAAAACCCAGAAATGAACCTACAGACCTATAGCCATCTAATCTTCAATAAGGGAGCTAAAACAATAGAATGGAAGAAAGACAGCCTCTTCAGTAAATGGTGCTAGCAAAATTGGTTAACTACTTGTAAAAAACTAAAGCTAGATCCTTATATATCACCCTGCACCAGAATCAACTCCAAATGGATCAAAGACCTCAGAGTCAAAGCAGACACTCTGAAAACATTACAGGATGGAATAGGAGAAACCCTAGGTCTCCTTGGCTCAGGCTGAATTTTCTGAATAGTGACCCGGAAACACAACAAATCAAAGAAAGGTTGGACAAATGGGATTGCATGAAGTTGCAGAGCTTCTGCATAGCAAAGGACATAGCTAGCAAGATCAATAGAAAGCCCACGGATTGGGAGAAGATCTTCACTAGCCATACAACATACAAGGGTCTCATATCTAAAATATACTTGGAACTCAAAAAATTAAATCCCCCAACAACAAATCCTCAAAGAAACAACTGCCCAATAAAAAAGTGGGCTAAAGACTTAAAGAGAAACTTCTCTGAAGAAGAAAGAAGGATGGCCAATAGACACATGAAGAAATGCTCAACCTCCCTAGCCATAAAAGAAATGCAAATCAAAACAACATGGAGATACCGCCTCATTCCAGTTAGAATGGCAAAAATCAAGAACTCTAACAACAACAGATGCTGGAGGGGATGTGGACAGAAGGGAACCTTACTGCATTGTTGGTGGGAGTGTAAACTTGTTCAATCACTTCGGAAAGTAGTATGGAGGTTCCTCAAAAGATTTCACATAGAGCTCCCCTATGACCCAGCAATCCCACTTTTGGGCATTTACCCAAATGTTTACAAACAAGACCACACTAAAGCTACCAGCACAACTATGTTTATTGCAGCATTATTTACCATAGCTAAGATATGGAACCAACCCAGATGCCCCTCAGTAGATGAATGGATCAAGAAAATGTGGTATATATACACAATGGAATTCTATGCCTCCATCAGAAAGAATGACATTGCCCCATTTGTTAAGAAATGGAAAAACTTGGAAAAAAATTATATTAAGTGAAGTAAGCCAGGCCCAAAGAAACATAGGTCCCATGGTTTCCCTTATTTGCAATATCTAGTATATGTATGAGTCAAGCGGAAAAGGTCAGATAATGTGATGTTAGGAAAATGAACCCTTAGATATGTATTTTAATGTTTTTTTCTTTCATGCATTTGTTTCTAATGCATTTATAAGATTATCTCTTCGTTGCTTTGTATGTCCCTCCCCCACAGTATAACCCCTGCTTTCACTATATTTGATGTCAGTATAACTTGTGGAGGAGATGGGGACAAACAAGTCGTTTAAGGATACAGGTGGACCTGTGGCAACAATGAGAAGTACACGTTGTCATGTCGAAAAGGAGCTTTACAACGTTGGTGCGGGGTGGGGGTGGGGAGTTGGATTGGGGGGGAGTCTGGGAAGGGATGTGAAGGGTAAACAAAGGAGGAGGCTGCAATGCTTGGTAAGAAATGTACGCATTATCCTGCCCATGTAATTGTAACCCCTCTGTACAGTATGTTCACAAAAAAAAAATAAAAAATAAAATAAAAAAATAAAAATAAATAGAACTCACATAACTATGAAATTTGGGAAAGTGCATCTGCTTCCAGATTCTAGCATGTTTGGTCATCAGAATCTAGCCTGTAATAACAACATAATAAAACCAGTAACATCACTATGACCCTCAGATCTCAGCCTCTTGAGTAGCTAAGATTACAAGTATGAGCCACTGGTGCCCGGCCAGATTTATCACCCTGTATCAATAAACTTTTCAGCCTGAAAAAAAAAGAAAAAAAAAGAAAATTTCAGCCTGTGCCAAGGAGCCCTAGAGTTTCTCCTCTTCCTTCCTGTAATGTTTTCAGTGCATCTGCTTTTATTTCAAGGTCTTTGTTCCATTTGAGTTGTTTCTATTGCAGGGTGATATATGGGGATCTAACTTTAGTTTTCTACAGGTGTTTAACCAATTTTGTCAACATCATTTACTGTCTTTCTTCCATTCTATTTTTTTTGGCTCCCTTATCAAAGATTAAGAAGCGATAGATCTGTGGGTTCGTTTCTGGGTCTTCAGTTCTATTCCATTGGTCTTCAGGTCTGTTCTTGTGCCAGTACCAAGCTGTTTTGATTACTGTGGCTTTGTAGTAGAGTTTGAAGTTTGGTATTGATATTCCTCCAGCACTGTTCTTTCTGCTAAGGATCGTTTTTGCTATTCGGGGTCTTTTATTGTTCCATCTGAATTTTTGGATTGTTTCTTCTATTTCATTAAAGAATGAGGTTGGGAGATTGATGGTTATTACCTTGAATTTGTAAATAACCTTTGGCAGTACTGCCATTTTCATGATGTTAATCCTCCCAATCCAGAGAACTTCTGGTTTTTTGACCTTCAAATTCCATGATTTATACCAGCATCCTGTCCCTGAAGCTCCCTGATTCCTAGACCTTTATCTTGTTTGAGTTATACCATTGGTTTCCATGGTTCTCAGGCCTTGAAACTCAGATTGACCTGTACCACTTTTTCTTGTTCTCTAGCTTGTAGATGACAGACGACGAGACTTCTTGTGATCATGTGAGCTAATTCCATAGTAAGTATCTTATATTTTATATCTATCTATCTATCTGTCTGTCTGTCTATCTATCTATCTATCTATCATCCTATCTAATCTGTCTGTCTACCCATCCATCCTTTCTTCTTTCTATTTGTCTATCATTTATTATATTAGCTCTGTTTCTATGGAGAACATTGACTAATGCCATCACTAGATTAATCTATAAATTCAGAGAATGTGTGAATAGAAGACAGTGATGGATAGTAAGAGATAGGTGATCTGTGAGATCATTGTGTTTATATTTTATGCTACATAAAAGTTGTTACAATTCAACAGTTAGTACACAGATATTACCTTAACAGTTTTTGAGGGTCTAGTGTCCAGGACTAGCTTGCATAAATTCCCCTGATTGGCCACACAAGGCTGTAATATAATTTCTATTTAGAGCTCAACTGTTATGTGAGGGTTGACTCCAAATTCGTTCAAATTGTTAGAAGAATTTAGTTCCCTGAGGTTGTAGAATAAATCACTTCAATTTCTTATCTAGAGACTACATCTTCTAGAGATTACCTACATGGTTATTTTAGCCTGCCTGCCTGCCTTTCCTTCCTTCCTTCCTTCCTTCCTTCCTTCCTTCCTTCCTTCCTTCCTTCCTTCCTTCCTTCCTTCCTTCCTTCCTTCCTCCCTTCCTCCCTTCCTCCCTTCTTTCTTTTCTTTCTTTCTTTCTTTCTTTCTTTCTGTTTTCTTTCTCCTCCCTCTCTCCCTCCTCCCTCCCATCCTCCCTCCCATCCTCTCTTCCTCCCTTCCATTCTCCCTTCCTTCCTTCCTTCCTTCTCTTCCTTCCTTCCTTCCTTTCTTTTTCTTTCCCCTCTCCCCTCTTCCCTCCCATCCTCCCTCCCATCCTCTCTTCCTCCCTTCCTTTCTCCCTCCCTCCCCATCCCTTCTTTCCTTCCTTCCTTTCTTTTTCTTTCCCCTCCCCCTCCTCCCTCCCATCCTCCTTTTCATCCTCCCTCCCATCATCCCTCCCTCCATTCCTTCCTTCCTTTCCTTCCTTTCTTCTTTCTTTCTCTTTCCCCTCCCCCTCCTCCCTCCCATCCTTTCTCCCTCCCTCCCTCCCTCCATCTTTTCCCTCCCTTCCTCCTTCCTTCCTTCTTTCCTTCCTTCCTCCCTTCACTTTTCTGCTAGCCCTAGGGTTTTAACTCAGGGCATGGGCACTGTGCCTGATCTTTTCTTGCTCAAGGCTAGTGCTCTACCTGTTAGACTAACCTCCCCCATCTTAGGAGCCACTCCACTATCTTAGGCCCCCGCGGTAAAGCATTGCCTTTCCCTGAAGTCTGGTGACACAGGCCTTCCCTGAAAGTAGCTAGCTCAGACCTTATCTCATCAGGTGACACAGACAGCTGCAACCATACACCTGATCCCTGCCACAACAAAATGTCTCGCACAAACAAGACTTCAGAGCACCTCTGGCCCTAGTAAAATTCTCCACCCCCAGCCCCCTAGCCAAACAAACCCCCTTGCTCAAGGACAAGTGCTGTCTCTGCCCAAGAGGGTCAGCCTGTCAGCTTGCTGACAATAAACTTTGCTGTACATGTCTTGGGGTCTGTGTGGTTTTCTGGGCCGAGGCTTTCATTACCACTTAAGTCACAGCTTTACTTCCAGCATTTTGGTGGTTAATTGGAGATAAGAGCACAAGAGCCTCATGGATTTTCCTCTCCAGGCCGGTTTCAAACAGTGATCTTCAAAACTCCTGAGTAGCTAGAATAACAGGCATAAGCCAACACCTTGCCTACATTTTTTTAAACTATAGTACATGGGATTTACCAACATGGATATCTGATCCTTGAAGCCAGCAAGGAAAAGAAAAACTCCATCCATGACATGTAAAAATCGAATCATGTGTATCTACCACCTTTGTCACATCTGTTAGTAAGAATAAAATGTCAGGCTCCATTCACATTCAAATGGTGGGGATCACATGGAGACACAGATACAGAAAGTATGGATTGTCAAAGGTATCTTATAAATCTACCAGAAGCACTACATTTTTAATATTTCTTTTTCACTTTTACAAGGATGAGAATTAAAACTAATGCCTTGCACAAGTTAATCAAGGACGTACCCAGTGCAACATGCTTCCTCTCTTTTTCTCCTCACCCAGGCTTACACTAACTACTTCTTGCTTACAATGATATCCTCAAAATTGTCTCCATTGTATGCTTATCTCCTTACAAAACATTACACACAGTAGACAAAGCTACCTTCTTCAAATGCACAAGACCTGAGTGTCTCACTCAAATGTTTGAGAAATATCACATTTTATTTCTCTTCTAGTGACTGTCCCAGAGTGGGTTTTGAAGTAATGGCAAACCAGAGAGGAAGAGAAATTTGGCAGAGAGAACTTTGCATAGCTTCAACTTAAGTGCTAACTACAACCATCTATTCACTGGACTGGCCTTTCTCTATACTTTGTTTTTAAATATCCTTGTATGTGCGTGGATGTGTATGTTTGTGTGGGTGGGAGTTAATGCGGGTGTGTGTAATTGGGGATCAAATGAGCCTTGCTCGTGATAAATACGTGTATTTCTACTATTGGCCTGCAATCCCAGCCCCCTCACCCGCTTTTCTTTTTGCCAGTCCTGGGGCTTGAACTCTGGGTTTGGGTACAGTCGTTGAGCCTCTTTTGTGCTCAGAGCTACCAGATGAGCACAATGCCACTTCCGCCTTTTTCTGAGTAGCTTATTAGAAATATGAGTTTCAGGGGCTGGGAAGGTGGCTCAGTGGTAGAGTGCTTGCCTTGCATGCCTGAGGCCCTGGGTTCGATTCCTCAGCACCACATAAGCAAAAAGAAAAAAAGCCGGAAGTGGTGTTGTGGCTCAAGTGGTAGAGCACTAGCCTTGAGCTGAAGAGCTGAGGGACAGCGCCCAGGCCCAGAGTTCAGGCCCCACGACTGGACCCCCCCAAAAAAAAGAAAAAAAAAAAGAAATATGAGTTTTATGGAGTTTTCTGTCTAAGCTGGCTTCAAACTGTGAACCCCAGATCTCAGCCTCATGAGTAGCTAGGATTATAGGCATGAGCCACCCGCACCTGGCTCCCAATCCCTTTTAATACCTAATTATAGAAAGCAAAAAAGATGACCGAAACGATTAGGAATTTTTTATTAAACTATTTTTTATTGTTACTGTTGAATTGATAGACAGCAGGGTTACAGTTGCATGAATCAGGTAATAAGTACAGTTCTTTTTAAACTGTGTCTTCTTCTACCCTTGCTCTCTCTGTTTTCCCCTCCTGTCCTCACCCACAAAATGTACAGTTCATTAACGCATAGTGTCTGGTCGGTACCATTGTCGTATTTGCTTACCCTTATTCCACCTTTTCTGTGTCTCTCCTTACCCTCCCAAATACAAACAAACAAACAAAAGGAAAAGAAAACAAAAACAGCAACAGTGACAATTAAAAATGTCTCTTGTTCCCTTTCCTTGGAGTTCATTTCAAAACTGTTATTTCATAAGACCATATGCCTTTACATCAAATAAACCCTATGGCTTCTCCCAGGATCCCAAGTGGTGTCATGTCAAATGACATTAGGCAGCGCAGCTAGCATGGTGCTGTTTTAACACGTGAATTAGCAAGGTATTCTCCTGTTGCCAGCACGTCATTTTGTAGCCATGTTACTGCAACAGATTTGTTTTTCTTAACTATTAAATTCCCTTTTTTTGAGGATTTTATTTTTCAGATATTATTGTTGCCAGTATCAACATAATCTTCAAACTCTTAAACATTCAGTCCTTTTGCACACTTTTTCTTTAGCTAGTTGTTTTTTAATTTTTATTTATTAATATTTTATTATATTGTAAAGGTGATATAGTGGTGTTACAGTTGCATAAATAAGGTAATAAGTACATTTCTTGTTGAACAGTGTTACCCCTCTCTCTCTCATTTTTCCCACTTTCCCTTCCTCCTACTCTTCTCCCTGACCTCCAAGTTTTACAGTTCATTTCCAACATTGTGTCTAGAGAAAATTGTTGTTGCATTGGTTCACCTTTTGTTCTTAGTGTCACCTTTTGTGATTCCCCTTCCCTTCCCCAAATAAGATAAACATATATAGAAGACATGGGTACCAAAAAAAAAAAAAAAAAAACCAGTGACAACAGGGGATAAACCAAGGGAAAAAATGAAAGAAAAAGGAAATAACTGCACATAGTACATTAAAAACAACAACAAGTAAAAATACCCTCTTGTTTCTATTTCTTGGAGTGCATTTCGATTAGCATCATTTTATATGGTCATATGTACATAGCTATTGAGCTATTGTGATCCTCTGCTAGGACTATCCTAGACATAGACTAATTATTACAAACAAGGGAAACCATGGAGCCTTTATTTGTTTGGGTCTGGCTTACATCACTTAATATGATTTTTTCCAAGCCTTTCCATTTCCTTATAAATGGGGCAAAGTTATTCTTTCTGATGAAGTATCAATCCACTGTGTATATATATATATAGTCCCATTTTCTTGATCCATTCATCTACTGAGGGGCATCTGGGTTGGTTCCATATCTTAGCTATGGTAAATAAGGCTACAGTGAACATAGTTATGCCGGTAGCTTTAGTGTGGCCTTATTTGTGAGCGTTTAGGTAAATGCCCAGCAGTGGGATTTCTGGATCATAGGGGAGCTCTATGTTTAATCTTTTGAGAACCTCTGTACTGCTTTCCAGAGTGGTTGAACCAGTTTACATTCCCATCAACTGAGTAGTAGCCATATCCCTGCCAGCATCTATGATTATTTGTTTTCTTGATAATACCCATTCTAACTGGGGTGAGGTAGAATCTCAATGTTGTTTTGATATACATTTCTTTTATGGCTAGAGATGTTGAACATTTCTTCCTATGTCTATTGGCTATTTGTATTTCCTCTCCAGAGAAGTCTCTTTTTCTTTAGTTCACTTATTAATGGAGTGGTTGTATCTTTGAGGACTTTTTATTGGAGGGTTTAATTTTTTGAGCTTTAGGTATATTTTTGATATGAGACCCTTGTCTGTTGTATGGCTAGTGAAGATCTTCTCCCAGTCTGTGGGCTTTCTATTTATCTTGCTAGCTATGTCCTTTGTCATGCAGAAGTTCTGCAGTTTAATGCAATTCCATTTAGCCAGCCTTTCTTTGATTTGTTGTGCTTCTGGATATTTATTTAGAAAGGTTCAGCCTTTGCCAAGGAATCCTAGTGTATTCCCTATGCCTTCCTATAATATTTTCAGTGTATCGGCTCTTACCTTGAGGTCTTTAATCAACTTGGAGTAAATACTGGTGCAGGGTGATATATAAGGCTCTAACTTCAGTTTTCTACATGTATATAGCCAATTCAGCCAGCACATTTGTTGAAGAGGCTTTCTTCTATGTGATGATTTTGACTCCCTTGCCAAATATTAGATGGCCATAGATCTATGGGATCATTTCTGGGTCATCAGTTCTATTCCATTGATCCTCAGACCTGTTCATGTGCCAGTACCAAGCTGTTTTTACAACTATGGCTTTATAATGGAGTTTGAAGTTTGGTATTGATATTTCTCCAGCACTGTTTTCCCTGCTAAGGATTTTAACTGCTGAATTCTTGATGACATATGAAATTCTTTATAGTATTTGCAAACTAGCTAAGGAGACTGAGCAATGACCAATGAAATCTAAAAAAATAAAAATTATGATAACAAAAAATGTAAGTAGAACTGTAGAATTAACATCATTTAAATTGAATTCTGATTGCCAACAGAAAGGAAATGTTTCCAGGCTGAGACAAATGGCATATATGAGGAAGAAAACTACTTCATATTTTTGTAGAATTGGAAGAAGGTTAGGATAGTATAGACAGCAAAGAAGAAACTCACAAGATTCTTGTAAGAATAGATGTGTAAATTACATTGGACCTTATACCTCATAAACTGACAACTTTCAAGGAAAGCCATTTAGGGGGCCTTAGGAATGCAAGACCCAATTTATATGTACAAACAAAAATTCTGGGCCAGGAAGACAGACATTTTGTTCCTGGTTCAACTAAGAATTCCAGCAACCCCCAAACTAGGCTGCAAGTGGAATGTTTGCTTTCTGAGGTTATGAACAGAAGTTAACTTTATTTTTCTGTACATTCTTTTAAAAATTTCTTTACCTGTTTGTAGTTGTACAAAAGAGTTGCCATTCAACCAAGTTGTATACAATTAAATTCATTGAATACAATGAATCTTGATCAGTGTCATTCTTTTCATCATTCCCCCTCCCTCCTGATCCCATCCCTTCCGTCAATGGTCTTGATTTTGTAGAATACACATTGCATTTTATGACTGCATTTCCCCTTTCCCCCTTCCTTTAAGACTTAGGAAAGACTGTGCTGCATAGTCATGGCAGGCTTTGGTGACCCTTTTTCTTCTCCAGGAGAAATTCCAGTGCACCATTTCCCCTTAGTTCTTTTATTCTAATTTAAAAAATTTATTAGCTATTGTATTGTATTGAAGTTGAAATAAATCAATTATAGAACTTTTTGTAGATATATTTATTAGTGCAGAGAATAGCTATAAAAATAATCTCCACCCTTATTCCCACAAGGTCAAAATCGATGGCATTTTCAAAGCAGTACTGGAAAGGTCTGCAACATAACTATTCACACACACACACACACATATATAGCCACAATTTATCACTTAAAAATTGCATCAAACCTTTTGAGATCTGAGACAACCTCTCTAATCCTAATGATAACATAATCACCCCCAAATAGCTCTGGCCTGAATTTTTGTTTTAATTTTAAGATAGCAAAGATGAGAAGAGTGAGGTTAGATGAACTAAGAAAGACTGAGAACAGCTTTACCAGGGCCTTTAATTCACTGGAGTAGATGTTCTTTGGCTAAAAATTTCAAGTTCAGAGGTAAAGACAAGTGATTTTTTGAGTTAAAAATAAACATTTTTATGTTCCCTTCTGTTTAAAAATTAAAATAGAGGCGTATTGTCTGGAATTAGCTGTTTTAAAACACGTACTCATAGTTTTCATTTCACTTTTCTACTTTAGCTCACTTTTCCCTGTCTTCTCTTCCCTGAATGCTACTAACCTGCCTCCTGAAAAAACACAATTCTTTTGAAGTCTGCCATACTTATCTGAAGAACTGAGACCTCTGTGTTGTTGGTTAAGGTCCCATGTGGGTAATAGAAGACAAATGAGTTCAGAAATGCTGACCGTGGTTTTTTTTTTTCCTACTGGGTCAACTTTTAAAGTATTCATTAATCCAGATTCACAGGCTAACGTATTTTAGCTACTATAATAAACTAGCCCTGTTAGAAAGGAACTGCACTAGTAAAGTTAAAAAAAAATAGTCTGGTGTTCTCTCTCACAAAGGTTAAAGTTTTCTAATAAGTGTT